ATAGCTACGCCGGCAGGGAGCCCCGGCAAGAAAATTTCAGATCCCAACCCAGAGTCTGAGGGGAGCCAGCTCCTCATCTTCTCCACGCCCAGGGGCTGCTGGTAGCTCCCAAAGGAACTGGTTTCCTCCACCACCAGCTTTATTTGTCCGCTGGAGGAACGGGTTGGCCCCCAGCGATGCTGTGAAAGGTCAAGTGTGGGGCAAAAAGGGCAGGTTTTGGGTTGGGTCCCTTGCCAGCGTGCAGCGGGAGGGCTGTGAACCCCCCGGGGTGGCTTGGAGAGGAGACCAGCCCCAGCCTTGCAGGGCAGGACACTTCAGCAGGGCTTTGGCCAGGGTGAGTGGGGCTGGCTGGGGTTTGGGGGGGTGGGGGGGAACACGCCCTCCCGCAGCCACCCCTCCGACTTCCTCCTTTCTGCCCCAGCCGGCTGCGAGACGGAAGTAGGCAGGAAGGGTCGGGGTGCGTCGCAAAGCACCCGATGCCCAGCCGCTTCGCCCAGCCAAGCTCGAGAAGCTGAGACCATCCTCATCCCAGCCCAAGCACGGGACGGAGGAGACGGCTTGATGCGAGGCGAGTACAGCATCTCCATTTTCTTGACGTCTGTTCCTCTTTTCTGTGGGGGGTGGCAGCCAGGCGACAAAGCGGTTTCATAGCTCTGGTGTTCCCACTGAATTTGTTTGATAATTCCCAATTGGAATTTTTAGATGGCCTTCAGGGAGCTCGGCGTGGTGTCCCTGCCACCCGTGGCACGGTGCGGCAGTCAGTCTGCACAGCCTTTGCAGAGGGAGCTTGCCCGGTCTGTAATGGGTTGGCTTTTGGAGGGAGGATTAAGCTTGGGACTGCAGGTGTTTTGGGGGGGGCGGGTGTCAGACCCCACACAGCCCCTTCCTCACCTCCCTGCTCCCCCCCACACCCTCCTCACACGTGGCACTGGGGAGAGCGGTGCCAGCAGTGTGCCCAGGACCCCTCACCTGCCCGGCGGGTCCCCCACCAGCACCCACAAACAGGGGACGCAGCAGCTCGGAGGGGAAGAGGGAACGGGCGCGGTGGCAGGGCGGCCGGGGGCGCTCGGCGTGGTGCTGGTGCAGGGACCTTCCTGGAGACCCTGCACCCCCGTGGGACTGGGAGAAGAGGTGGGAGAGGGCAGTGAGACCCTTGCTCTTCTCCTCCGCCTCTCTGCGTGCCGTACGCGTCAAATACTCTGCTGAGGGCCACTGAAAACGCCTGGCGGCAGCAGGGAAGGCAGCAGAGCCCGCGGGCAGGCTAACCCTGGGGAGAGCAGGTCCTTCCCGAAATCTCCGTGGCTCTCAGATGCAGGCGAAACACGGGGCACACCCCAGGGGTCAGGGATAGCAGCCTGGCACCTGCTTTCGCTGCTTTTTTCCAGCGCCGCGGCCCTAGCTCGCAGCCTGTCAGGCAGGGGAAAAGCAAACGTGTGAAGCCTCGCAGAGGCGTCGTGCCCTGCGGCCGGCACCGACACCCGGTACGCGGCTTCTGCAAGGTGTGGGAAGGCTTTAAGTGGCGCGCTCCGCGTCACGGCTGTCACATCCTGCTTCGCGCCGTGGTTTTGCGCTTTTTCTGTCCTCCGTCCTGGTGCTGTTTCAGTCGCAAGCGATCTCAGCGTGCCGGGGAGCGTGGTGCAGGGTGATTTATTTTCTCAGAGAAAGACTGAAGTCACCGTAGGGCTGGTGGTGGTGGGGGATCCCTCTGTTGCTCCGTGAAGCACGAGCTCTGCCAGCTCCAGAGGACACGCCGTCCTGCGTCTCTGCAAACCCAGCAGCTGCCACTGCGTCCCCACGGGGATCGGCCAAGGGGTGATGCCCACTGGAGGTCAGACACAAGAAATGGCTTCTCTGTTTTTAAAAATCCCAGACTACCGAGGCCACGACAGGGCAACCCCATCCCACCCAAGCAGGGCTCTGACCCTGGGAGACCCAGCAGTACAAACCTCTGGTCTCCCAGAACAGGGTGGGGGTCCCCCGGGCACCCAGGGACCTCGGCACTCAGAGCCGAGGGACAGCACAGGCCAGGCGCTTGGCGCACACGGGAGAGTGCTCAGCCCACACACCCATCCCCTGCAGGCACTGGAGGCTGCTGGGAGGAAATATATATGTAAAATATATACCTATTTCCTATAGCAGAACATAGGAATATATCTATTTTTTATATGTATATAGATGTCTAAAAATACTTTTATATCTTTTTATTTATATATATTTTAATTTTTGCTGTAATTTAGATATAGTATTAAAATATGTATATAAACACGTGCACACACACACACGGAGTGCGATACCCTGCACAGAAGGTGTCTCAGCCAGTGGACAGCCCTGCATACGACCATCTGCCTTGATGGAAACTACCTGCATCACACAACGAGGCGGTGGAAGAGAAGGCCACGAGCCAAATGACATCCACTCTCCCATCCCTGCTGCACCCTGCTCCGCTCATTTATCACCCGCGCCCAGGGGCTGGGGCCGCCCAGAGTCGGGGGGAGAAAGGAGCATCTCTGCTGGGTGCGGTACCCGGTGTCTCTGTCCCAGCGTGATGGTGACGTGGCTCTGGGGATGCTTGGGAGCGTGGGGGAAGCGCCCAGCGGCACCGGGACACAAGCACTGACCCTAGTGGCACCTCAGCGTTGCAGGCGGGTGGTGCAGAGACCCCAGGAATCCTCCCGGGATACCGGGCACCAGAGCGCGTCCACCTGTTTTGCAAGAAAACACGTGTTTACTGCTGTTGAACGCCGATTTTATTTATAGCAACGAGATCACCACTAGCGTCAACACTTCCCCTTGAGCCCTGTTTATAAATCCCAACTCGCTCCTCCGTGCTGCACGTTGGCCGGCCTGAGCCATGCCAGACAGCAAGCGGGAGATGCTCCACGGATGGAATACCCTGGTGGCTGCTGCAGAGGGCTCCTGGTGAAGCAGAGCCCCGGTCCGCTGCCATCCGAGACACGCGGCGAGGAGATCCGAGCTCAGGGCCAAGGAAGACCCTGGTCCTGGGGTGCAGCCTTGTCCCCCCGGTGCCACCACGCAGCCCTGGCCCTGCTGTCAACGCGTCCTGCCCCTAGCCAGGGCGCTCGATCTCCGCACCCCGCTCCCCACCCTGGGATGAAGGCGGTTGCCAAGCCCTGCAGTTCTGCTCCCTCGCAGCAGGGCGGGAGGATGGACTGCGTGCATCCCTCTGCTTGCTTTAATTTGTGAAAAAGAGGAAAAAAAATCATCCCAGGCAGAACTCACCTAGGAGAAGAGCACCCAGGACTGGCAGTCACAGTGCAAGTCAAAGGGATCGCCAAGGGGGTTGGAGAGGTCCATGCTGAGGCCCATGTCTGCGCCCTGCTAATGCAGTCAGACCGCTTTCCCCTCCCCTGAGCACTGTAAGGAGGCAGACAAAAGCAGAAGCGCCCTTTGTTCACTTTGAAAGTCACCCTACCTCATGTATACTCTCACCCACCCACATACCAGTGAATAATTTCCCTCCACAGCAGAGGAAAAGAAGTGGTGAGCTTTCTTCTGCTGCTTTCTGCTGCTATCAGGGTGTGCTTTACATTCTTGCAACTGAGGAAAGAAATTACTCTGGGGATTAGAAAGGCGTCCAAACCCAGCCCGTCAAATGAACCCTTGGGCAATCCCAAGGACAAATCCAGGCTGGGCAGAGAGTGGATTGAGAGCAGCCCTGAGGAGAAGGACTTGGGGATGCTGGTTGGCAGGAACCTGAACATGACCCAGCAATGTGTGTTCACAGCCCCACAGGCCAATGGTACCCTGGGCTGCATCCCCAGCAGCATGGGCACCAGGGCGAGGGAGGGGATTCTGTCCCTCTGCGCCACTCTGATGAGACCCCACCGGGGAGTCCTGCATCCAGCTCTGGAGCCCTCAGCACAGGACAGACCTGGAGCTGTTGGAGCGGGGCCAGAGGATGCCACAGCAATGATGTGGGGGCTGGAACCCCTCTGCTGTGAGGAAAGGCTGGGAGAGCTGGGGCTGTTCAGCCTGGAGAAGAGAAAGCTGCGGGGAGACCTTAGAGCA